CTGGGGTCTGTGAGCTTGTAGGTTGGTGTCTGTGAGCTTGTAGGCTGGGGTCTGTGAGCTTGTATGCTGGGGTCTGTGAGCTTGTAGGTTGGTGTCTGTGAGCTTGTAGGCTGTGAGCTTGTATGCTGGTGTCTGTGAGCTTGTAGGCTGTGAGCTTGTATGCTGGTGTCTGTGAGCTTGTAGGCTGTGAGCTTGTATGCTGGGGTCTGTGAGCTTGTAGGTTGGTGTCTGTGAGCTTGTAGACTGTGAGGTTGTAGGCTGGTGTCTGTGAGCTTGTAGGTTGGTGTCTGTGAGCTTGTAGGCTGTGAGCTTGTATGCTGGGGTCTGTGAGCTTGTAGGCTGTGAGCTTATATGCTGGTGTCTGTGAGCTTGTAGACTGTGAGGTTGTAGGCTGGTGTCTGTGAGCTTGTAGACTGGTGTCTGTGAGGTTGTAGGCTGGTGTCTGTGAGCTTGTAGACTGTGAGGTTGTAGGCTGGTGTCTGTGAGCTTGTAGACTGTGAGGTTGTAGGCTGGTGTCTGTGAGCTTGTAGACTGTGAGGTTGTAGGCTGGTGTCTGTGAGGTTGTAGGCTGGTGTCTGTGAGGTTGTAGACTGGTGTCTGTGAGGTTGTAGGCTGGTGTCTGTGAGGTTGTAGACTGTGAGGTTGTAGACTGTGAGGTTGTAGACTGTGAGGTTGTAGACTGTGAGGTTGTAGACTGTGAGGTTGTAGACTGTGAGGTTGTAGACTGGTGTCTGTGAGGTTGTAGGCTGGTGTCTGTGAGGTTGTAGGCTGTGAGGTTGTAGACTGTGAGGTTGTAGACTGTGAGGTTGTAGACTGTGAGGTTGTAGACTGTGAGGTTGTAGACTGTGAGGTTGTAGACTGGTGTCTGTGAGGTTGTAGACTGGTGTCTGTGAGGTTGTAGGCTGGTGTCTGTGAGGTTGTAGGCTGGTGTCTGTGAGCTTGTAGACTGTGAGGTTGTAGGCTGGTGTCTGTGAGCTTGTAGACTGTGAGGTTGTAGACTGGTGTCTGTGAGCTTGTAGGCTGTGAGCTTGTAGGCTGTGAGCTTGTAGGCTGGTGTCTGTGAGCTTGTAGGCTGTGGTCTGTGAGCTTGTAGGTTGGTGCCTGTGAGCTTGTAGGCTGTGGTCTGTGAGCTTGTAGGTTGGTGTCTGTGAGCTTGTAGGCTGTGGTCTGTGAGCTTGTAGGTTGGTGTCTGTGAGCTTGTAGGCTGTGGTCTGTGAGCTTGTAGGTTGGTGTCTGTGAGCTTGTAGGCTGGGGTCTGTGAGCTTGTAGGCTGGGGTCTGTGAGCTTGTAGGCTGTGAGCTTGTATGCTGGGGTCTGTGAGCTTGTAGGCTGTGAGCTTGTATGCTGGTGTCTGTGAGCTTGTAGGCTGTGAGCTTGTAGGCTGGTGTCTGTGAGCTTGTAGGCTGTGAGCTTGTAGGCTGGTGTCTGTGAGCTTGTAGACTGGTGTCTGTGAGCTTGTAGGCTGGTGTCTGTGAGCTTGTAGACTGGAGTCTGTGAGCTTGTAGACTGGTGTCTGTGAGGTTGTAGGCTGTGAGCTTGTAGGCTGGTGTCTGTGAGCTTGTAGGCTGTGAGCTTGTAGGCTGTGAGCTTGTAGGCTGTGAGCTTGTAGGCTGTGAGCTTGTAGGCTGGTGTCTGTGAGCTTGTAGGCTGTGAGCTTGTAGGCTGTGAGCTTGTAGGCTGGTGTCTGTGAGCTTGTAGGCTGTGAGCTTGTAGGCTGTGAGCTTGTAGGCTGGTGTCTGTGAGCTTGTAGGCTGTGAGCTTGTAGGCTGTGAGCTTGTAGGTTGGTGTCTGTGAGCTTGTAGGCCGTGAGCTTGTAGGCTGTGAGCTTGTAGGCTGTGAGCTTGTAGGCTGTGAGCTTGTAGGCTGTGAGCTTGTATGTTGGTGTCTGTGAGCTTGTAGGTTGTGAGCTTGTAGGCTGTGAGCTTGTAGGCTGGTGTCTGTGAGCTTGTAGGCTGTGAGCTTGTATGTTGGTGTCTGTGAGCTTGTAGGCTGTGAGCTTGTATGCTGGTGTCTGTGAGCTTGTAGGCTGTGAGGTTGTAGGCTGGTGTCTGTGAGCTTGTAGGCTGTGAGCTTGTAGGCTGTGAGCTTGTATGTTGGTGTCTGTGAGCTTGTAGGCTGTGAGCTTGTAGGCTGTGAGCTTGTATGTTGGTGTCTGTGAGCTTGTAGGCTGTGAGCTTGTAGGCTGTGAGCTTGTAGGCTGTGAGCTTGTATGTTGGTGTCTGTGAGCTTGTAGGCTGTGAGGTTGTAGGCTGGTGTCTGTGAGCTTGTAGGTTGGTGTCTGTGAGGTTGTAGGCTGGTGTCTGTGAGGTTGTAGGCTGGTGTCTGTGAGCTTGTAGGCTGTGACGTTGTAGGCTGTGAGGTTGTAGGCTGGTGTCTGTGAGGTTGTAGGCTAGTGTCTGTGAGGTTGTAGGCTGGGGTCTGTGAGGTTGTCAGCTGGGGTCTGTGAGCTTGTAGGCTGGGGTCTGTGAGGTTGTAGGCTGGTCTCTGCAGGTCTGTTTCTGCTAGACTGTTATTGTTTGTTGTTGGTTTAACATAAAGTCAGTACCAGGATAGTCTCACATTTCCTGCCGTGACAGTTCTTCGATCAGTGTTACAGGAGAGGGTGATTTAGACAGACAAGGGAGACAGAAAAGTTCGTCGATCAGTGTTACGGGAGAGGGTGATTTAGATAGAGAAAAAAGAGAGGTGATGCAAATGAGAGAGAAAGGGAGAGGTGTTGAATTAAAATCAGAGCTGCCTTGCTTGTGCTTGCATGTGGTTGCCACGCTACGCTTCCCCATCTCACCAGTTCCACATCATTTGTCTTTGATGCATTCACACATGTCTTCATTCTGTGTCTTTCTTCATTTATGTTTTTTTTTTTATTAGTGGCCAGGTGACTTAAGTTTGTTGCGTCTTCCTTCCATCATATGTTTGCCAGTTGTTGATATGTTGTTTCCTGCCATATTTATTTTCTATGATACATGTTTTCCTATGGTATTTTTTTCCATGAAACTGTATCCTAATGATTTATGTTAATGGCCCCAAATATTAACCTGGGATGTACATGTCTGTGTTTGTGTGTTGTCTGCACATTTAGGTCTCTTTCAGATAATTTTATCTAAATTGTTACTTTTGTTATCTACATATATTGGTAGTCTTTGCATAATTTGTTATCTGTTCATCATTGTCTGTGTGTTATTTCTTAACTGTACGTCATTGTCTGTGCGTGATTTGTATTGTCTATATTATTTATGTAAATCAGTTAGGATATATGGGAACGTTGGGCAGTGGTGTAAAGGTGTAGCAGAGTGAGAGGTACAGCAGGTGGGATAGGTGAGGCAACAGTGTACACCAATGGCAGAGTGAGAGATACATCAGGTGAGATAGGTGAGGCAACAGTGTACACCAATGGCAGAGTGAGAGATACAACAGGTGAGATAGGTGAGGCAACAGTGTACACCAATGGCAGAGTGAGAGATACATCAGGTGAGATAGGTGAGGCAACAGTGTACACGGATGGCTCAGTTAGAGGTACAACAGGTGGGATAGGTGAGGCAACAGTGTACACCAATGGCTCAGTTAGAGGTACAACAGGTGAGACAGGTGATGCAACAGCGTACACGGATGGCATAGTTCGAGGTACAACAGGTGGGATAGGTGACGTAACTGTGTACAAGGATGGCAGAGTTAGAGGTACAACAGGTGAGACAGGTCACGCAACAGTGTACACGAATGGTAGAGTTAAAAGTACAACAGGTGAGATAAGTGACACAACATTGCACACGAATGGCAGAGTTAGAGGTACAACAGGTGAGATAAGTGACACAACAGTGCACACGGATGGCATAGTTAGAGGTACAACAGGTGGGATAGGTGACGTAACTGGGTACAAGGATGGCAGAGTTAGAGGTATAACAGGTGAGACAGGTGACGCAACAGTGTACACGAATGGTAGAGTTAGAAGTACAACAGGTGAGAAAGGTGACACAACAGTGCACACGATGGCAGAGTTAGAGGTACAACAGGTGGGATAGATGAGGCAACAGTGTACACGGATGGCTCAGTTAGAGGTACAACAGGTGAGATAGGTGACGCAACAGTGTAGACTGATGGTTCAGTTCATCCGTGAAAGATCTGGCTGGGGGTTTTCAGCAGTGTAGGAGAAGATCCTTGCGAAGAGAAATGGTGCTTGTTTTATTTACAATTGTAAGCATTCAAATGGAGGTTAAGACAGTCTCTGAAGTAGAAAGCTAAAATAGATTTACCAAAGGAAATAATTTGAAGACCATTTATTTCTAGAACAATAAATCGTGTCCTATGATGATGATTCTGAAATAGTATGTTAACTTCACATCATTGTTTGTACATTATTTGTACGTAATTAATTTTCTGCAGAATAATTAATCATACATCGTTGTCTTTACGTTATTTGTACGTAATTAATTCTCTGCAGAATAATTATCCATACATCATTGTCTGTACGTTATTCGTGTTGTGAGTAACATTTGTTATGTCTAAACACGATATAGTCGGCACATTACCATAGCTGAAAACATGTTTCCTCCTTTTCTGTCTTCCCATGATCTGTTGCAGCGTAAACATTGGTTTCTCCTGATTGTTCCAATGTTAACATTGTATTCCCCTTACCCGTTGATGTAAAAGAAAACATTTTTTCCCTAAGCAGTGCAAATGTTTGTACCTCTTATCTCTTTGACGACCCCCCCCCCCCCTAATTTGTTCCAATGTAAGCATTGTTTTCTCCTGATCTGTTGCAGTGAAAAGGAACGACATATTTGATGACCAGACGATGACCATGATCAAGCAGGACCTGGTCACACTGGCCGAGCGCACCAGTCTAGACCTGACTGCCTGTGTTATGCATACCACATTCCATGGATCGGTGAGTAGCCGCCTTGTTTGTTGTTTTGTCTGCTAAGCTCCATATCTCCATATGACAGTCTTCTTTCTGTGACTAGCACTGAGGGGTTCGATTATACAGGTTTGGGATCTGGCTGTATCTAAATATATGGGGTCACCACTAGAATGTATGGGGTCACCACTAGAATATATGGTGTCACCACTAGAATATATGGTGTCACCTCTAGAATGTATTGGGTCACCACTAGAATATATGGTGTCACCACTAGAATGTATGGGGTCACCACTAGAATATATGGTGTCACCTCTAGAATGTATTGGGTCACCATTAGAAAGTATGGGGTCACTACTAAAATGTATGGTGTCACCATTAGAATGTATGGGGTCACTACTAAAATGTATGGGGTCAACACTAGAATGTATGGGGTCACTACTAAAATGTATGGGGTCACCACTAGAATGTATGGGATCACCACTAGAATGTATGGGGTCACCACTAGAATGTATGGGGTCACCACTAGAATGTATGGGGTCACCACTAGAATGTATGGGGTCACCACTAGAATGTATGGGGTCACCACTAGAATGTATTGTATCACCATTAGAATGTATTGGGTCACCATTAGAAAGTATGGGGTCACCACTAAAATATATGGGGTCACCACTAAAATGTATGGGGTCACCACTAGAATGTATGGGGTCACCACTAAAATGTATGGTGTCACTACTAGAATGTATGGGGTCACCACTAGAATGTATGGGGTCACTACTAGAATGTATGGGGTCACTACTAGAATGTATGGGGTCACCACTAGAATGTATGGGGTCACCACTAGAATGTATGGGGTCACCACTAGAATGTATGGGGTCACCACTAGAATATATGGTGTCACCACTAGAATATATGGTGTCACCACTAGAATATATGGTGTCACCTCTAGAATGTATTGGGTCACCATTAGAAAGTATGGGGTCACTACTAAAATGTATGGGGTCACCACTAGAATGTATGGGGTCACTACTAGAATGTATGGGGTCACCACTAGAATGTATGGGGTCACCACTAGAATGTATGGGGTCACCACTAGAATGTATGGGGTCACCACTAGAATGTATGGGGTCACCACTAGAATGTATGGGGTCACCACTAGAATGTATGGGGTCACCACTAGAATGTATGGGGTCACCACTAGAATGTATGGGGTCACCACTAGAATGTATGGGGTCACCACTAGAATGTATGGGGTCACCACTAGAATGTATGGTGTCACCACTAGAATGTATTGTATCACCATTAGAATGTATTGGGTCACCATTAGAATGTATTGGGTCACCATTAGAAAGTATGGAGTCACCACTAAAATATATGGGGTCACCACTAAAATGTATGGGGTCACCACTAGAATGTATGGGGTCACCACTAGAATGTATGGGGTCACCACTAGAATGTATGGGGTCACCACTAGAATGTATGGGGTCACCACTAGAATGTATGGGGTCACTACTAGAATGTATGGTGTCACTACTAGAATGTATTGGGTCACCATTAGAAAGTATGGGGTCACCACTAAAATACATGGGGTCACCACTAAAATACATGGGGTCACCACTAGAATGTATGGTGTCACTACTAGAATGTATGGTGTCACTACTAGAATGTATTGGGTCACCATTAGAAAGTATGGGGTCACCACTAGAATGTATGGGGTCACCACTAAAATGTATGGGGTCACCACTAGAATGTATGGGGTCACCACTAGAATGTATGGGGTCACCACTAGAATGTATGGTGTCACCACTAGAATGTATGGTGTCACCACTAGAATGTATGGGGTCACCACTAGAATGTATGGGGTCACTACTAAAATGTATGGTGTCACCACTAGAATGTATGGTGTCACCACTAGAATGTATGGGGTCACCACTAAAATGTATGGGGTCACCACTAAAATGTATGGGGTCACCACTAGAATGTATGGGGTCACCACTAGAATGTATGGGGTTACCACTAGAATGTATAGAGTTGCTAGTCTGTTTGCATTCACGAGAACATATCAGGTAGTTATAGTTATTGTTTCAAGTTTTCTGTCCAAGGGATTAGTCAACCAGACACACCCAGTGATGTCATTTTTATGGCATGTGATTTTCTATCACCAACATGCCTTTCTGTAAGTGTGAACACTTCCTGCCCCTTCAGGGACAACATAGTGAAAGCAAAAGGAAACAGGCTCAAGTCGGAATTCCTTTAAGGCAAGCTGAGTGTAGCCTTAGGCTAAGTGTTCAGAAACACATGACATAACGAATGCACAGAAACACATGACATAAAGAATGCACAGAAACACATGACATAAAGAATGCATATCCAGTCCTGAAAAATTCAAGGCACTGTTGTCAGCAATCACTCTTAATAGATTACACAGTAAGCAGTCCCATTCTGATAAGAATGACTGGAACAGTATCCATTGTTTCATTCATTGACAAGCAAAAACTGAAATGGTTCAGCCACCTAATGAGAGTGAATCTAAGAATGCCATCAAACAGAGCGTACAACTTCAAAATGGACAATTCAGAGTGTAGAGGAAGACCTAGAAAATATATGGATTAAAGGAGTCACCGACAGCCTAATAACTCACATCACACCACACCAAGCAACCAAAGACACCCCTAGCTCAGCTGCCCATCATCCGTTAAACTACAACCGCTTGTGGCACTAAGCAGATGTTGACAAGGGAGTAGTTCCCTTCTACAGTGACAGCTGTTGTGAATGCCAACTGGTTCAATGCTCAGGTGGAACTGCTATGGTATTAATGGATGAATCAGTTGTTGGTCACAGGGGATGGAGATGCTGGGGTATTTGTGGGTGGATCAATTGTTGGTCACAGGTGATGGAGATGCTGGGGTATTAATGGATGGATCAATTGTTGGTCACAGGTGATGGAGATGCTGGGGTATTAATGGATGGATCAATTGTTGGTCACAGGTGATGGAGATGCTGGGGTATTAATGGATGGATCAATTGTTGGTCACAGGTGATGGAGATGCTGGGGTATTTGTGGGTGTATCTGTTGTTGGTCACAGGTGATGGAGATGCTGGGGTATCTGTGGGTGTATCTGTTGTTGGTCACAGGTGATGGAGATGCTGGGGTATTAATGGATGGATCAATTGTTGGTCATAGGTGATGGAGATGCTGGGGTATTAATGGATGGATCAGTTGTTGGTCACATGTGTGTGACTTAGGCTTTCTGTCAGTGTGTTTTAATGGGTAAATAGTTCAGCAGTGCTGGGCTGCTGTCTTTACAGCGACCGTATCCTTCATGTGGCGTTGGATAAAACTACAGAACTACATGCATCCATTCATGCATGCTGACTTCATGAACCTGCTAAATAAGATACTGTCAGATACTTATGTACAGTGGTTTGGTTTGCAGTCAGTCAGGTTTGACTGCAAGTGTAGTCATTTTTGTGTCATGGAATGCTGGTGTCAGAGGAAATTAAAAGGCAGATAACTAGTTCTAGAGTAACAACTCTACATTTTAGGTCGAGGACCATCTCAGTAGGAGAAATGATATTAAACCTGATCTGTTAAGTCATCATGTTTGAACCGATCTGAGAGTCCAGTCATAATATTAAAGCTCAATTGTTAGACTTCAGTCATCATGTTGAACCTGATCTGTTAGACTTCAGTCATCATGTTTAACCTGATCTGTTAGACTTCAGTCATCATGTTTAACCTGACCTGTTAGACTTCAGTCATCATGTTTAACCTGATCTGTTAGACTTCAGTCATCATGTTTAACCTGATCTGTTAGACTTCAGTCATCATGTTGAACCTGATCTGTTAGACTTCAGTCATCATGTTGAACCTGATCTGTTAGACTTCAGTCATCATGTTTAACCTGATCTGTTAGACTTCAGTCATCATGTTGAACCTGATCTGTTAGACTTCAGTCATCATGTTGAACCTGATCTGTTAGACTTCAGTCATCATGTTTAACCTGACCTGTTAGACTTCAGTCATCATGTTTAACCTGACCTGTTAGACTTCAGTCATCATGTTGAACCTGATCTGTTACTCAGTTGTTATGTGATTGTTCTCCAACTCTGGCTGATTGTATTGATTGAATCCACAGATTGTGGGCAGAAGATCCACACAGTCTGGATCCAAACAATCCTTAGTGGAGTTTATACCCAGCAATGTGTAAGTTCTTTTTTGTTCTTTGTCTGTGTAAGTCCCCACATGTAGCTTGTTTATGTTGTGTGGTTCTGCTTGTGTTTATGTTGTGTGGTTCTGCTTGTTTATGTTGTGTGGTTCTGCTTGTGTTTATGTTGTGTGGTTCTGCTTGTGTTTATGTTGTGTGGTTCTGCTTGTGTTTATGTTGTGTGGTTCTGCTTGTGTTTATGTTGTGTGGTTCTGCTTGTTTATGTTGTGTGGTTCTGCTTGTGTTTATGTTGTGTGGTTCTGCTTGTGTTTATGTTGTGTGGTTCTGCTTGTGTTTATGTTGTGTGGTTCTGCTTGTGTTTATGTTGTGTGGTTCTGCTTGTGTTTATGTTGTGTGGTTCTGCTTGTGTTTATGTTGTGTGGTTGTGCTTGTTTATGTTGTGTGGTTCTGCTTGTGTTTATGTTGTGTGGTTCTGCTTGTTTATGTTGTGTGGTTCTGCTTGTGTTTATGTTGTGTGGTTCTGCTTGTGTTTATGTTGTGTGGTTCTGCTTGTGTTTATGTTGTGTGGTTCTGCTTGTGTTTATGTTGTGTGGTTCTGCTTGTGTTTATGTTGTGTGGTTCTGCTTGTGTTTATGTTGTGTGGTTCTGCTTGTGTTTATGTTGTGTGGTTCTGCTTGTGTTTATGTTGTGTGGTTCTGCTTGTGTTTATGTTGTGTGGTTCTGCTTGTGTTTATGTTGTGTGGTTCTGCTTGTGTTTATGTTGTGTGGTTCTGCTTGTGTTTATGTTGTGTGGTTCTGCTTGTGTTTATGTTGTGTGGTTCTGCTTGTGTTTATGTGTGGGTAGCTTAGAGATTAGTCATATGTTTTCACCATGCTGCCCTCAGCATTGACCAATGTTTGATTCCCACTAACAATGCACTCCCAGCATTGGCCAATGTTTGATTCCCACTAACAATGCACTCCCAGCATTGACCAATGTTTGATTCCCACTAACAATGCAGTCTCAGCATTGGCCAATGTTTGATTCCCACTAACAATGCACTCCCAGCATTGACCAATGTTTGATTCCCACTAACAATGCACTCCCAGCATTGACCAATGTTTGATTCCCACTAACAATGCACTCCCAGCATTGACCAATGTTTGATTCCCACTAACAATGCAGTCTCAGCATTGGCCAATGTTTGATTCCCACTAACAATGCACTCCCGGCATTGACCAGTGTTTGATTCCCACTAACAATGCACTCCCAGCATTGACCAATGTTTGATTCCCACTAACAATGCACTCCCAGCATTGGCCAATGTTTGATTCCCACTAACAATGCACTCCCAGCATTGACCAGTGTTTGATTCCCACTAACAATGCACTCCCAGCATTGGCCAATGTTTGATTCCCACTAACAATGTAGTCTCAGCATTGGCCAATGTTTGATTCCCACTAACAATGTAGAAGAAGAAAAAAAAAGACAGTTCCTGTGGCTTTCAGACAGTGGTGCTAGAGAATGGAGCCTCATTATGTAATATTCCCAGTCAACAGACGGAACTGTTTTTTTTTAGATGTTAGATGTTTGCCTGCAGATCTGAAGGTCGAGGAGTTTAAATTCGATTTGAGCTGGACTTGACCCCACCCCAGGTGGACGCAGCCTTGAATGTGCTACGTGAGGCCCTGTGGAGTAAAGGTCAACTATACATCCTGTTTTCTTCACTTTGCGTCACTAGCCCTAAACTCCAGTAGAATGTTCTGGTCTTTCCTCCACTTCTAGACTTGAGTCCTGTTCCAAAACCTGAGTGTTGTGAGCACATCTGTTTTACAGATCTGGCCCATTTGTGTGCAGACTGTTAGTTCTTTGCCTCTCAGGCAGATGCGCTTAGACTTGGAAGAAAGCTGCCAGTTAGTCGACTCGTACAACATGCTTTTGGGTAAGCAGTGGGTCTGTCCTTGTCTATCCCACAACGGGCCCCGGGAACTGGAAACTGTTTATTACGCCTGAAGGTCTGGGAAAGGGTCCATCACTGTATGGTAAATGTTTGCTGTATGTTTGTGTGTGTATGAGAGAGATGGAGAGGGAAGGACAGGTAGAGATAGAGAGAAATAATGTTTGCTGTATTTGTGTGTGTGTGTATGAGACAGATGGAGAGGGAAGGACAGGTAGATCATTTTGGTTGACTGTTTGATCCAGTAATGGTGTTTTTTCTGTCTCTGCCACTGCAGGCTGGATGATCAATGGGTCCCAGAAGAGAAGACTGCCCAGATGTCTCAGATGTCCGTCCCTGTCTTTGGCCTTCCCACGGACACGGTGACAAACCTGCACAACAGCCTGTACAAACCGCACCGATTCCGCAAGCATCGCCGCAAGTAACATACGCACGTATCCATGTGGGCATTCCTACTTGGTGAGCCCACACATGCCAGTGTGGGCGTTCCCTGTGATGAGGGAACACAAATGGCAGCAGACATTACAACACGGATACTTGATCAAGCATTATCACCTGGCCAGTGTCTTGTTATCCGACTTCACTGGAGAATCATCCAAAATATCATGTCTGTTTGTTTGAAATGTTTCTTGTTTTTGCATATTTAGGTCATTTTTTTTTTTTTTAATTGTATGATGATGTGTCTTCATTGAAGGGCAGTAGTCTGCCTACTGTGAAATGTTGGGCTTGATTGTGTGTTTGTAATTTAGGATTTAGAGAAATCAGGAATAATTTGTGTACAGGATTCCTGGTCCCTTTCTTTTTTGAAAAAAAATGTTTCTTTTCGATACACTTTAGTGTAGAATAGGAAAGACTACATAAGATCATAAAGGTGAGCACTGATGACAGCTGAGCACTGATGGCAGCCGAGCAAGTGGCCTGCGGATCTTGACCAGTTGTTGTGTATTAAATGATCTTTCTGTGTTTGTGTTTGGGCGATTCAACTTTTCCCCCGAGTAAACTTAGTGGAAAGCCTTGTGATAAAGTGTCTTTACGTTCTGGCGTAGAAAAGGAAGGACTTCAATAACAGAAGGGACCACTACGCTCCGTGGCAGAAGAGAAACAGCTGCTACATATCAGGCTAGAAGAATAGGGACACCACAACACTACACTCTGTGGCAGAAGAGAAACAGCTGCTACATATCAGGCTAGAAGAATAGGGACACCACAACACTACACTCTGTGGCAGAAGAGAAACAGCTGCTACATATCAGGCTAGAAGAATAGGGACACCACAACACTACACTCTGTGGCAGAAGAGAAACAGCTGCTACATATCAGGCTAGAAGAATAGGGACACCACAACACTACACTCTGTGGCAGAAGAGAAACAGCTGCTACATATCAGGCTAGAAGAATAGGGACACCACAACACTACACTCTGTGGCAGAAGAGAAACAGCTGCTACATATCAGGCTAGAAGAATAGGACACCACAACACTACACTCTGTGGCAGAAGAGAAACAGCTGCTACATATCAGGCTAGAAGAATAGGGACACCACAACACTACACTCTGTGGCAGAAGAGAAACAGCTGCTACATATCAGGCTAGAAGAATAGGGACACCACAACACTACACTCTGTGGCAGAAGAGAAACAGCTGCTACATATCAGGCTAGAAGAATAGGGACACCACAACACTATCACTCTGTGGCAGAAGAGAAACAGCTGCTACATATCAGGCTAGAAGAATAGGGACACCACAACACTACACTCTGTGGCAGAAGAGAAACAGCTGCTACATATCAGGCTAGAAGAATAGGGACACCACAACACTGGCAGAAGAGAAACGCTGCTACTCTGTGGCACTAGAGAAACAGCTGCTACATATCAGGCTAGAAGAATAGGGACACCCACAACACTACACTCTGTGGCAGAAGAGAAACAGCTGCTACATATCAGGCTAGAAGAATAGGGACACCACAACACTACACTCTGTGGCAGAAGAGAAACGCTGCTAATATCAGCTAGAAGAATAGGGACACCACAACACTACGCTCTGTGGCAGAAGAGAAACAGCTGCTACATATCAGGCTAGAAGAATAGGGACACCACAACACTACGCTCTGTGGCAGAAGAGAAACAGCTGCTACATATCAGGCTAGAAGAATAGGGATACCACCACTGTGGCAGAAGAGAAACAGCTGCTACATATCAGGCTAGAAGAATAGGGACACCACAACACTACGCTCTGTGGCAGAAGAGAAACAGCTGCTACATATCAGGCTAGAAGAATAGGGATACCACAACACTACGCTCTGTGGCAGAAGAGAAACAGCTGCTACATATCAGGCTAGAAGAATAGGGACACCACAACACTACGCTCTGTGGCAGAAGAGAAACAGCTGCTACATATCAGGCTAGAAGAATAGGGACACCACAACACTACGCTCTGTGGCAGAAGAGAAACAGCTGCTACATATCAGGCTAGAAGAATAGCTCTGGACAGCTGCTACCACACAACACTACGCTCTGTGGCAGAAGAGAAACAGCTGCTACATATCAGGCTAGAAGAATAGGGACACCACAACACTACGCTCTGTGGCAGAAGAGAAACAGCTGCTACATATCAGGCTAGAAGAATAGGGACACCACAACACTACGCTCTGTGGCAGAAGAGAAACAGCTGCTACATATCAGGCTAGAAGAATAGGGACACCACAACACTACGCTCTGTGGCAGAAGAGAAACAGCTGCTACATATCAGGCTAGAAGAATAGGGACACCACAACACTACGCTCTGTGGCAGAAGAGAAACAGCTGCTACATATCAGGCTAGAAGAATAGGGACACCACAACACTACGCTCTGTGGCAGAAGAGAAACAGCTGCTACATATCAGGCTAGAAGAATAGGGACACCACAACACTACGCTCTGTGGCAGAAGAGAAACAGCTGCTACATATCAGGCTAGAAGAATAGGGACACCACAACACTACGCTCTGTGGCAGAAGAGAAACAGCTGCTACATATCTAGAAGAATAGGGATACCACAACAACGCTCTGTGGCAGAAGGAAACAGCTGCTACATAACAGGCTAGAAGAATAGGGACACCACAACACTACGCTCTGTGGCAGAAGAGAAACAGCTGCTACATATCAGGCTAGAAGAATAGGGATACCACAACACTACGCTCTGTGGCAGAAGAGAAACAGCTGCTACATATCAGGCTAGAAGAATAGGGACACCACACACTACTACGCTCTGTGGCAGAAGAGAAACAGCTGCTACATATCAGGCTAGAAGAATAGGGATACCACAACACTACGCTCTGTGGCAGAAGAGAAACAGCTGCTACATATCAGGCTAGAAGAATAGGGATACCACAACACTACGCTCTGTGGCAGAAGAGAAACAGCTGCTACATATCAGGCTAGAAGAATAGGGATACCACAACACTACGCTCTGTGGCAGAAGAGAAACAGCCACACAGCTGCTACACTAGAAGAATAGGGATACCACAACACTACGCTCTGTGGCAGAAGAGAAACAGCTGCTACATATCAGGCTAGAAGAATAGGGACACCACAACACTACGCTCTGTGGCAGAAGAGAAACAGCTCCTACATATCAGGCTAGAAGAATAGGGATACCACAACACTACGCTCTGTGGCAGAAGAGAAACAGCTGCTACATATCAGGCTAGAAGAATAGGGATACCACAACACTACGCTCTGTGGCAGAAGAGAAAAACAGCTGCTACATATCAGGCTAGAAGAATAGGGATACCACAACACTACGCTCTGTGGCAGAAGAGAAACAGCTGCTACATATCAGGCTAGAAGAATAGGGATACCACAACACTACGCTCTGTGGCAGAAGAGAAACAGCTCCTACATATCAGGCTAGAAGAATAGGGACACCACAACACTACTGTGGCACAACACTACGCTCTGTGGCAGAAGAGAAACAGCTCCTACATATCAGGCTAGAAGAATAGGGATACCACGCTCTGTGGCAGAAACACTACGCTCTGTGGCAGAAGAGAAACAGCTCCTACATATCAGGCTAGAAGAATAGGGATACCACAACACTACGCTCTGTGGCAGAAGAGAAACAGCTGCTACATATCAGGCTAGAAGAATAGGGATACCACAACACTAAACAGCTCCTACATATCAGGCTAGAAGAATAGGGATACCACAACACTACGCTCTGTGGCACTACAGCTCTGTGGCAGAAGAGAAGAATAGGGATACCACAACACTACGCTCTGTGGCTAGAGAAACAGATATAGGCTAGAAGAATAGGGACACCACAACACTACGCTCTGGCAGAAGAGAAACAGCTCCTACATATCAGGCAGAAGAATAGGGACACCACAACACTACGCTGGCAGAAGAGAAACAGCTCCTACATATCAGGCTAGAAGAATAGGGACACCACAACACTACGCTCTGTGGCAGAAGAGAAACAGCTGCTACATATCAGGCTAGAAGAATAGGGATACCACAACACTACGCTCTGTGGCAGAAGAGAAACAGCTCCTACATATCAGGCTAGAAGAATAGGGACACCACAACACTACGCTCTGTGGCAGAAGAGAAAACAGCTAGGATACCCTACTACGCTCAGGCTAGAAAAGAATCAGGGATACCACAACACTACGCTCTGTGGCAGAAGAGAAACAGCTGCTACATAACAGGCTAGAAGAATAGGGACACCACAACACTACGCTCTGTGGCAGAAGAGAAACAGCTCCTACATATCAGGCTAGAAGAATAGGGACACCACAACACTACACTCTGTGGCAGAAGAGAAACAGCTCCTACATATCAGGCTAGAAGAATAGGGATACCACAACACTACACTCTGTGGCAGAAGAGAAACAGCTCCTACATATCAGGCTAGAAGAATAGGGATACCACAACACTACGCTCTGTGGCAGAAGAGAAACAGCTCCTACATATCAGGCTAGAAGAATAGGGATACCACAACACTACGCTCTGTGGCAGAAGAGAAACAGCTATCAGGCTACATATCAGGCTCAGGCTAGAAGAATAGGGACACCACAACACTACACTCTGTGGCAGAAGAGAAACAGCTCCTACATATCAGGCTAGAAGAATAGGATACCACAACACTACACTCTGTGGCAGAAGAGAAACAGCTCCTACATATCAGGCTAGAAGAATAGGGACACCACAACACTACGCTCTGTGGCAGAAGAGAAACAGCTCCTACTCAGGCTACCACAACATATCAGCTGCTACATATTCAGGCTATCAGCTAGAAGAATAGGGACACCACAAACACTACGCTCTGTGGCAGAAGAGAAACAGCTCCTACATATCAGGCTAGAAGAATAGGGACACCACAACACTACGCTCTGTGGCAGAAGAGAAACAGAATACATATCAGGCTAGAAGAATAGGGACACCACAA